GGATATCAGATTTTGAGGCTCGATCAGGGTGAAAGGTCACCAACGCTCGTTTACAAGCAGTTTGCACCTATACACACACACACACACACACGTATATTTCAACTTATTCACATAGAAGGGTAAATAAAATCTAGCCCTAAAGAAAAATTATGCATTTTTCCAGTTTAAGAGGAGCATCACTAACAGTGGTAAAATTAAAAGTGGCGTGTGTAACTAACCTCTTGTGGCGCAGGATTTGGCCACCCACCCACATGAATCCCCAACGAGTGCAACAGTGAAGCCAGATTATGGCCTTCCAGTTTCTTGAGCTCTGTCCTAACTTCTTCACGTATTCTCTCCTTCAAGTTCATATTTTCCTTATCCTAAAAGCAAAGGTAATTAGTTCAAGAAAAACTCAGATCTGTGCACAAAGTGAAATACACTGCTGAAATGCAGATGAATTTCATAAATTATCGAGAGAATATATTTGTAGTAATTTGATAGAACTATTACACAAACCTTCCTCTCACTATTCCGAACTTCCTCTACCCGCTGTTTCGTTCTTCTCTCCACATCCAGCAACCGCTTGCTCTCATTTACTCTTCTCTTGTGCAACCGCTTCAGACGTTTAGCTTCTTCAGCCTATATAAAACAACATAAGAAGTACTAAAGTTAAACTGTGTCAAAATATTCTAGAAAGCAATATAAGCGGTAAAAAAAGTAACTGTATCAAAACGCAACCTGAACTTCAAGAGCTTGTTTGCGGGAAGCCCATTCTGCCTCCATTATTCTTTTATATTCATCTGTTTCCTTTTGTTTTTCCCGAACAAAGAGTATGCATGACCCACCAGAAGGCAGAGTTTCTCCACTTCGACTGTCCTTCTCCAGTTCAACGTTTGATGCTGCATTATCCTCTTGTACATTAGCTTCATTAATACAATTTCTGAATGATGACTTGTCGGGGGTCTGTTGACTGTCGATATTGTGGAATTCTGTTCCCAAATCACCGGATAAAAGAGATGAACTGTGATCCGTTTGCTTAGAAGATAGCGTAGAACTCTTTAATTCACATCTTTTAGGCATTAAATTATCCATCTCTTTAGACTTCCCAGTTTCATGCAGCTTCCTGGATTTTATATTCTCCCTGCTATTGGTATTATCCGTGATGAAGTCTGGGAAATTCTTACTGCAATGACCTGAAAAAGGTTCACGGAGATTGCCCTTAGTTTCAAATGACCTTTTACTCACATAAGAGGTGGCTTCATCCTCTGCTGGACTAGATTTGCCACAAGAGGAGTCTTCATGTGCACCTGATTTGGATTTTGAGTAACAGGGTTCGACTTCAGAAGCTTCCACATCATCAGAAGCACTTTTTGATTGATCGAATTCCTTATGCGACTTCTCAGAGGGAGGAAAAGTACACGAAAATGGGCTTTCCCAATTCACTCCTGGCTCATGTTCGGCTCTTGCACCAAATGCCCGGTTTTTGCAAAATTTAAAACCTTCTTCTTTTCCAGAACATGATGGATCCTTTCGGTTATTGAATTTCCCTGTACAAGAACCGGACGGGGTCTTCCCTTGCCCAGCCACATCATCCATTTCAAAATTGTAACGGTGGTCACCCCTTGACGAGCTATAACGATACCAAATAGCTGGATGACTGTTTTGAAGATCCTTCTTTCTCCTGGAGGAAGCCTTTTCCCACTGTTCTTGAACTTTCCCTGAAGAATCTTCCACCAACTCACAATCGGGATAGTCACTATCTGTTGAATCACTTTCATAGTCAAAATCCAACCCGTAACGGTTTCTTGTGGAGCCATTTCCTGAATAAGTACGCTTGCAATTTGATAATCGCACAGGAGGTGTAACATCCTGACCACATTTAGATTCTTTGCCCGCGGAATGTTTCATATTGACACGATAAGATTCTCCATCAGAAGAGGCAGCTCCAGCCGAAAATCCGGCAGCCTTCGCATCAAAAGAATGACTAGCCTCACAGTTTTCATCGTCATCTATGCATATCACGTTCGTAAATGACCACTTTTGGTCTTTTTTATTTGTGCCTTCTGAAGGTCGCGTTTTGGGGGGTCGTTCGGGAGTATCAACGATAACAACGTTGTCGAAATTGTCGGCATCCACATCTATCACAATAACATTATCACCTTCCTCGTAATTCCTGCACCTCCTTAGCGTTTTCCCACCCGAACAGGGTCTGGGGTGCGGGTGGCCTATGGATATTCCATTCATGTTTCAACTGCATTAAGAAACAGGCACATTCAAGAGATTTAAAGCACCACAGAAATTCAATTTGACTAGAAACAAGACAATAATCAACTAATCAAGTTTACAAACCCAGCAAACAATCGATAACTAGTCACAAAACGAATTTGAGCATGGAATAAACAAAGAAAAAAGGCAAGACACGCACGATTGAAACTCTACCTCCGCACTAAATTGTCTGACAGATAAAGGGATCTCAACGCTAACTATCACCAGAAACAATATCATAACGCCTCCTCCCACCAACTACATAATATCGGACAAAATTCCATAAACCCTAAATCGCAGCGGCCCATACACAGAAAACCCCAATTACTTTACACCTCTTCCACACGACAAGATGAGCATGAACACTAATCCGAAGCTTCAGCCTATTGCAGAACATTATCCCGGTAAAAGAATTAAACCCAGAAAACAAATGATAAGACTCAATCAGATTCACAAACATACCTGATACCACACAACAGATGAAATTTCTTTTGAAACCAACCCCTACACGCGGATAATCATATCATAGAGAGCCCGAAATCTTCTGCAGAATAAATCTCGACGGCCCGAAAACAGAAATTTCGAAGAGAGGGATTTGTATTTTGAGAGGAAATTGGGGTCCCCCGTCGCTGTAATGTGGCTCGAAAATAAAATCTTATTATTGACTGTTATAGATTGAAATTTAATAAACAACACGTTCAAATAGAATAATATAAATAGTCAAAGGCTGTTACTACACGTAAATTAGGTACACAATTTATATTTTTTTGGATTTTGGAATATGTTGTGATTATTAGTAGGTACTGATGCTACTAGTTGGTAGAGATTAGTCGAGTAAAAATATAAATTTTAATTTGTCGCATTGCGACGCGCTGCCAATGTAATTGCAAAATAATTGGGCAAGTAATTGCAAAACAACTTGGCAAAGGTTGAAACAAAATAAACTTAAAAGAATAAATTCTCATTTTTTCAAGAAGTTACATTTAAAATTGTAAAAATTAAGATCGCACTAACTGATGTAGAACGTGAGTGACGAAATGAATAAAGATATCTCTCTTGAAAACACGTAAAAATAGATTTCTTATTTCTCAAATCACAACCAATCGGGAGGTTGTGTCCTTTTCGGGCAGGGTACGGGATGCTTTAGTTGATTCTCAGAGTGTGGGTGCATGCATTCGGCGCGAAACGCGGTGGCTCTCTTGGTTGGCTCCACCGGAGGGTGTTCTGAAAGTTAATACAGATGGAGCTTTATTCTGAAGACAGGGATGGCGAGCGCTTGAGGGGTTGTTCGGGACCATTATGGAACGTGGATTAAGGGCTTTATGATGAATATTGGTTTTTGCTCTATTGTGGAGGCCGAATTGTGGGGCTTATTCCAGGCTTGCAGCTGGCATGGGATATAGAGGCCCGTAAACTAGTGGCAGAGGTAGATGACCAAAGTATTATTGACCTCGTTAATCGTGAGGATTCTACCGGGCCCCATGGGAGCCTTATTGGGGGCATAAAAGAATTGATGGCCCGTCCTTGGGAGCTTGAGATTTCTCATGGCCATCGCGAGACAAACGTTGTGGCGGATTTTTTGGCCTCCCTTGCGAC